ATGCTGAGCCCCAGGAGGCAAACATTGCCAGCAGACCTCTGGGCTGATAACTGTGTGCCTTGGAAAATGACTCAGGCTCTCCTGTGTGACACAAAGTATTTAAAAAACATGGAACTGATTGATTTAATCGTATAGCTCTGCACTCTGGAGGGCTGTGTGCTCGAGTAATGAAAAATGTATGTGGTGTTTACGTGAGGATTTGTGAACGGATGAATCAAACCCTCTCCCCTGAACAACATGGTGCCACACTACATGCTGTTATTAATAGATCAATAATTTTCATGGGAGGATCTTGCAAAATGCGTCTTCTGGAGAGGTCCCACCGGAGATCAGCCCATCTAGCAGCAAGTTTGGCAAGAGCAGGGTGTGCAGCACAGCCCTGCCAGAGCCGGGGAACTCTCGAAGGGTGGATGACAATGTTCGAGGCAGAGCAGAAAGCCATGATGCCCAAGGGATGCAGGAGGAACATGCCCTTTGGCTCAAAAATTCCTACAATAAACTCTGCTCGAGATAAAGGAGCAAAGGAACTCCCCAAATGTCTCCCTTCCAAGAACCACCACTGCATGCAGGACTTGCTAAACCTTTCCACCACTTCACAGCCTCCTTTCAAAAGTGTAAAGCCTTGCCCTTGTGCTCTGTTCTGAACACCCGAGTTGTCCCTGGTCCCTCCGAGCTCCCGGCTGCGCACCGCAGAGCTGCATGCGAGGCTGCCTGGGTGCATGCTGCCTTTTCCACACGTGCAGGATGCATCTGACATTGGGAAGGACCTACACAAAATGCCCAGCCCGCTTAAATCCCCCAAACAGGACTTAAGCAAAACTTCAGTAATGCCTGGAATGAGTTTTTCCTGCGGTGAACTGAGGAGTGAAGCTGTGTTTCCAAAGCCAGCACTATAAATGGGCATTACTTACTGATCAGATCTTGGTTAAAAGCATTTCACTACAGAGAAGGTGGTGCTCAATCTCATGAAAAAGGCATGAATTAAGTCACCTTCAAAATATCTATTGCCACAGAGGCAATGCCACCGCAGAAGATTGTAAGGGGGAAGAATGTGATGTGCATTTCTCTATTTTTGGTGCTTTTGGTTCCTGCATTGCAGCCAGCCGCGTCCCCAGCACAGTTCCCTTTTGCTTCGAGCTTGTTGGACTTCCTACTTTCCTGCACAGCACGGTCTCCGTTACACACGCAACAGAGGAACCTTTGTGTGGTGGCGATTTTTTTTTTTTTCCCCCGAGATGGAGATTCATACTCACGGCTAGACTTGCGCAAACTTATTTCTCACAAAATTTTACAAATCAAGTCTAGAGAGTAGCTGAAAATGTCAGTTTACTGCTGAATTCAGTGGGAGGTTGATGCACAGGGAGGACCGGGGGGGGTCTGCAAGCAACGATCTGTGCTGTGAGAATGATTCAGCATGTACAGATGCTTAAGGATCAGGAAGCAAAAGAGTTGCGATGGTCTGTTATCGGAATTTGTTTTGCATGACAGGCAATAAGGGAACCGGTCATTGCTATTTTGGATGGACTAAAAGTGAACAGAAATGCTTACGCTGTTGCTGTTTCAGATTTGTGTGTGATTTCAAATCCAGCCCCTGACCTGAGCGAACCCAAGCTGTGCTCTGAACCCGTTCCTCTGGGAAACCAGTTCACTGGCCCAGATGTCCTACCTACATCATGTCACTGATGACATCAGAGCTATAATTTGTCTGAAAAAAACAAACATGAGCTGCCAGTGTCCCAGAGGGACTGATCTGTTCATGGGACAGCTTCTCTTCTGCTTTATCGCTCTGTGGGTTGTAACTCATGCACTCCAGGGGTAATTTCAGTGGCTTTTTGGAGATCATTGTGTAAAACATCCTCGTCGTGCTGAACGGAAATGTGGCAACAAAAATAGTTCAACTCTGCAAAAAGCATGGATTGCTGGGTCCGGTACACAGATGCCCCTTGGAGTCATTAGCTGAACTCCAGTGGAGTTATTAAAAGGCTGCTGTGCTCTCAGGGAAGGCAGGATCAACCCGTCGGGCAGTGCGGTCCTGCAAGGACATTACCTCAAGCAGAACCGAACCTGCATATGGAAAACCTCTGCGAAGCAGAGTCTTGCAGGTCTGTTTTCTTCCTTACAGCAGAACAGTTCAAGTCTGAGGCTGCCTGCATATCACCAAATCAATACATACATTTATCTGTCAAGAATCACTCAAACAAAAGACTGACAAGCATAATTACGAGAATTAATGGACTTCAGCAATTATCCATGTTTCTGCAACGTGGTAGGGGGGTAACAGCAAGCCAGGGGCTAGGTAGGAGCCGAGTTTCCAGGACTGGATCAAGTGCAGGGTATAAAGTTCATTTCAGTTCAGCAACTTGCTCAGAGGACCACTTTGATCAGAGCTGACAAAACTATTTTTTGTTTCTGTCATCATGCGACTGCCCTGACTATGAAATGCGTGTCCCTGCCAGCCCCTTTAAACACATCCCGCACGGAGATACAGGGCATCAGTTGAAAATGCCTGCTGGAAAAAGGCAAGAAGCAACATAAAGAAAAATAGAAGTCCAAGAAATGAAGGTGAATTCTGTGGCAGTCTTGTACAATGGGAGGAAAAATAACCTCTGTGGAAAAAAAAGAAATTGAGGAGTTCATTATTTTTGGCAGGACTTCTGCACATTTTGCTTATCAAGGGATCGGCATAGGGAGGGGATTATTTTATAGTCGCATAAAAGTTCCCTCCCTTCTTCAGTTCTTTCAAACCCAGGCTGCCTCCCTGCAGTCTGAGGGGCCTCTTTACGGGTTTACATTTCGACTTCTTTATTTTTTCTAGATGGGATATTTTTAAAAGACAGATTTATCCAGTTCACCACATGTGTTCAGTGCTGCTCTGGGTATTGTTGCCCCCTGCTAGTCAGTACGAGCAAGGGACAGACGCAGTGCTGGCTGGCCAGACTGAAAGGTGAAGGTGTCACTTGTGGCCCCGATCCATTTTCCACGGCTGTGATCCGATGAACGTTTTGAGCTGGGATGAAGCAGCCCTGCAGCCCCCAGCTTCCCATCCCCTCCTTGTGCCAGCTCCTGTGCGCTGCATCAGCATCGCAGCGCCCAGATGCAAAATGAGAGATGGACATTACCTGGGCTGAGCTGGTCCCCAGGAGAAGGTGCCGTGTAAGTTGGGGTCTGCTTATCGGGTGGTCGTGCCGTGAGAGTCCTCCTGTGCTGCCCACCCACCTCCCCCTGCTTCACCCAGACACGGGGCATTGCCAGCGCAGCTGGTGCTGGGGATGGAGGTGCCGCTTTCACCGTTAGACCCGTTACCACTTTATAACCTGGATGCCTCAAGCATTTCTGAGCACAGACCACCAGGACATTGATTCCCAGAATATTCACTGCCAGTGGATAACTCACAAGCCAGGACTTTGCTCCTTGGCACAGAGCACGAAGGGTTGAGCCCAAAGGAGCTTCTCCAGCTGAGCACAGCCTCTACTGTGTGGTTTTTTCGGCATGACGCGGTTGCCACAGCAGTGCAAGTGAGATGATACAAATTCCTGCTGCGACTCCAACCTGTCAACCCTCGCTCTATTTTTGGGGGTCTGGCCTGGTGTTAATTAGACGCTGCTGAGAGATGTGATTGAATGTGAGGAGGAAAAACCCATCAGCAAGGGACATGATCTCTGGCAAAGGGATAAAATCCACCTGGGACACAGTGCAGGCAGGAGCGTGTTAACCCACATACTCTGCACAAGGTGTAACACCCTGTTCTGCCCCGCTGCTCTGCTGAGGGTTATTTGGAGGCTGTGCTTCCACAGCCAGCCTGCTTTTTGAGGTTTTGGTGGTTTTTTGGGTTTTTTTGCCTGCTTGCTCTGGGGAGGTGGGAACACGCTGCGGTGTGTGCAGAAAGGATGCTCTCGACAGGCTTGGTGCTTGGCTTGCTGCGCTTGGCCCTTTGTTCTTGCAAACGGGCAAACAAAATCACGTTTCAATAGAAATAACTGTGGGTAAAGGAGATGGTGGTGCCTCAGACAGAGCAGGTACCATCTGTGGCAATTCTCTGGTCTCCCTCCGTTTTGGCCCTGTTCTCCGTACGTGCGTTAGGAACAACCCAGCCTGGCTCCTGGTGCAGTGTTGTGGCTGCAGGGATGCTCACTGCAGCCCTTCTCATCCCATCCCTGGCTAGAGACCCCTGTCACCTGAAGCTGAAAGAAAACTTGCCCATGCTTAACGCATCAGAAAAAATTGTTTGAGGACAGTTTGTCCGTGTGAAAACAAAGTCCCAGCATTCCCGCCAAGGTCAGCGTGAACCACTGAGCTGGTGCTCTGCTGTGAGCCACAGCTGGGTCTCACACACCTGCCTTTTCCAGGCATGCAGGACACCTTGGGGAGAGGGAGCACTCAAGCCCTCCCTTCCCATGCTCTTCTCCCTGCCCTCTCCAGGGACATGTCCCACCTGCCCGCCCACGTGCTTGCTCCTCACTTAACTAGAAAAGAAAACCATGGGCTTTCTCCAGGTCAAACAGGACCCACACATGTATGAAACCTGGGTAGGGATTTAATCAGTTCAGGCTTGTGCATGGGGCCTTGCGGTGTTCAGCTTGGTCACCGCTCTTCGGCCAGCCACGGGACATCGTACGTGGGGAGCGGGGTCTGGGTAGCCTGTTCTCCTTGCATGAAATCCCAGGGAAGAACGTGGTCCTGACCCAGGGTGAGTGCTGCGAAGAGAGCATCTCCTCTTCCTAGCACCAGTCTGAGGGTCTGCCCCGGTGCAGGGCTGGGGGTCACCGAATGCGCTGCTCCACCAGTATCACCTGCATGGCTCTTCCTTGCTTAGCATCTCCCGGGGCACCAAGTGAGGATTTTCAGGGTGATCTACTCATTAATGAGTCATTATGAATTCCCCACTGCCTGGCCCAGCACGGCAGGAGGAGTCACTCTCCCAGCATGGGTGGGATGCTGAGGTCTCCGAGCCCTCTCCTTTGGTCTGCAGCGTCTGTGTTGCTTCTCGTCCTGCCCTGCTGTTAGCTCTCCTCAGAGGTATCGTTGTGGGAAGCGGAGCAGTTCTCCAGTTCCGTCGTGATCGCTGCCGAGCACTGCTCCACTTTGACTTTCTTTCTCCCTCTCGTTGACTTCTTAGCTCCTGCAAACAGCAAGATGTCTGCAGGAGTTAACCACAGAGCAATGGCTTTACATGGACGAGGTCAGCGTGGCCTCATCCCAAAATAGGGACACTGCAGGAGGAAGCAAAGTTCAGCAAAGGAAAGATAAAAAGAAACCCCTTTCACATGTGAGATGCATGGGTACCTGGGGGAGGCTGGTGTGACCCTGGAAACAGATACAACATGCGAAGCAGAAATAGGCAGAGAACCGACCTGGTGCAGGAGCATACCTGAGAGGGTACCCAGACCAGCGGGATGCATTTCTTGGATTTCTCCCCCTTCCAGTATAGTACACAGCACACACCACATGCTGAGAGAGGGCTTATACCTCTCCATCCCCATTCCTGCCACAACTGCCTCCAGCCCTTCACTTGGGACATCCCCATCCAGTCCCAGAGGGTCGGATGGTGTCTGCCCTGGGGACCACAGGGCAGCTTCTTCTCCATTGCTCTGGGCAGCTGGTTTTGTAGAGCAAATCCTCTTCTCGCTCAGCTGCGGTGGTGTCCCCGAGCGAGTAGGCACCTCCGAAGGCCGGGCACAGAGCAAGGGGCAGCGCTTGCCTGTTAAACAAGCTCCCTTCATGCTTAAGCAATGCTCTCTCTACATTTATAATTGGGTCAACATTTCCTTGTCATTACCAACAGTACAAAGTGGGCTATAGTAGCGGGGTATTTCTGACAGAGTACTTTTTAAGACTTGACAGGCACACTGTCTTATCCTTGCCCTTATCAGGAGGAGTTTTCTGCTTATTCACCTGTAGGAAACACGGGTACAACACATTCCTCTGTCAGCAGGGAAACCTCCGCAGCCACACGGGAAGATCAACAAGGGTTGGCAGAAACCTTTCTCTGAACGTCAATAACTCAGCCCTGGGAATTTGGCCTTCTCCAGCCACCACCTCTCTGACCGGTTAAGCAAACACAAGGGACTTAGCCCTGTTAGCTTAGGTGCTGAGGAGTGCTCTCCTGGCCACCCTGCCCAGGCTCCCCCCTGGCTAACCATTACCAGGGGCTCCTCTGGCTGGAGACACAACCGTTGCCAAACCACGGCACAGCGTGGCATGCACTCGGTGGAGGAACACCCTCGTCTCCGCTGCAGGGAAGGCGGCCGGTGCCCTCGGGTGTTTTTCATGGGAGCCCCTTGGGAAGCAGCAGAAGTTGTAGCCCTGAGCTGATGCCACGAGGAACTCCTCCTCCCTACCTTTTGTCCAGGGGTCCTGTCCTCTTTTTCTCTTCTTCTGCAGTGCATGAGCCTTGTCTTTGGTGCAAAAATATTTCCCATCAGCCTGGGCTTCTTGTAGGATATCATCTTCATATGTGGCAGCCACCTACACCAACGAGAAGAACAGTCAGTCTACAAACTACCCTGGCTTTCCCAGGGAGCTGATGGCCTGGCTGCATTGCTGGGGACCTTTGTGACCATTGCTATGGAGTGGTGACAAATACTGTTGTTCATAAACCCTCTTGACTAGCTGGAAAGAGTGATATCTCTATCCCTCAGCATCAAGTTGGGTAACAGTGTCGGAATGGGGTTTGGCACCTCATGTAGGAAAAGCCGTCACCTTCTGGAGTGAGCTTGGGTGGGGACAACCTGTCTTACGCCTCTTGGACCTTGATGGCCTAAGCTATTGGGCTGAGGAGAGCAAACACACCTCGCTGTCCGTCGTGTCTGGCTCATCAGATTCCTGCTTCCCAGACTCAGCATCATTGTCATCTAAGGAAACACAAAAGAAGGGTTTTTTGGCTGGTGAGGACCCCGACAAGCTCACGAGCAGATGCAAAGCCACCGGCCTGAGATGGGGCTGAGAGCCATCGAGGCAGAAGACAGTTTCAGCAACAAACTGCGTTGCAAAGCAGAGCCACTGCGAGCTACGTGGCTTGAAATGAATGTTTATGGGAGATCCAACAGGACTCTGTTGAGGAACCAGCTCCCAATAAAGCTGTATCCGTAGGACTTTGCTACCCCAAGGTCGCAAGCGCTGCCCTGAAGTCTGTGGCTATGTGCAGGTTGGGAAGCTGAGGGGTATTTAAAACCCCAGACTGCACCTTCCCATTTGAGACCCAGGTGGGAAGAAGCGTGTCTGGGTGTAGAGGCCAAAATGGACAATCCTCAAGTTTGCTACCAGTGCCGGTTGGCGGCTCTTGGCAGGGAATGTGTGCCGAGGAGCAGAGGAAGGAAAGGCAGGGGAGCTTCTTCCCTGCCCAGCCGAAAGATTTTGCTGTGCACAGCCCCGGAGGCTACACAACCCCAGACACGTACCTGCACGCACCAGACACGCACCCCAACTTTGCACGGAGCCAAGCTGCCCGGGCCAGGGACCGAGCCTCGCTGGTGGTGGCATCACCCTGTTTGCACCCACATCGGCACACCCGTGCTGGCCGTGGAGGGGCAGAAAGGGCTGGGGACAGAGCTGTGCCCTCTTCCGAGGGGCAGGGGCATTCCAGGACCTCAATTTTTCTTGCTCCTGACACCCAGGTCTAGCCGTGGTGGGACTGTTGGCAGGGCAGCCTCCCTTGCTGCCCCTGCCCAGGTGGGAGAGCAGACGGTGCTGCTTTCAGGCACCCCTAGAGCCCCTGTAGTCTGATCCCATCCTCCCTTTATCCCTCCACAGGTTAAGGTTCGCTAGAAAGCACAGAAGTATTTGTGTATTGTTTCCTGGGCTTTGTGTCAACCTTAAGGTGAGAACTGAAGAAAGTCCTGTATTCCCACACCCAGAATGTAATCAGCTGAAATTCTTCTGCTGTGATGATATCTCCTTAGCATGTAAATCACAGAGGACTTCCCCCCCCCCCCCTTTTTTTTTTTTTTTCCACTGTGCAAAATCCTGCTCCGGAGAGTGTTCCCAAACCGCTCCGACACGCCCAGACCGACTAATCCAGGCGAGCTCAACTTTCTGGCCGAGCCAGTAAGGCTGGTACCGAGCAGCTCTCGGCAGACGTGCTTCCCGCTCCGCTGCCCATGGCTGCTGCCTCCCACCCACCCGGGGAAACCTGGCACCCACGTCCCACATAGGTCAGGCAGGGAGAAAGCACACTGTGTCCCCAGACGAAGGGCACTGCTGGTTTGGGGAATGGAAATGGCTTTTATAGGGGATGGAGCAGGGAAAAGGAGGAGAGCATCCTGTCCTACCTGCTGCAGGTACCAGCATCCCTCGCTCCACGCTTAACCCTACGCGCTGTGCCAGCACAGGGCACACTTCGGACTAAGGGGGCATGGACAGGGATGGTTTTTCCAGTGCTAGTCCTGTAAAACTTTTGCATTTTCCCCATCTCTGCTGGGGCGGCTTCTGAGCTTCTGCTTCCCTGAGAGGGGCGGGTAATACAGGAGCAGCAGTGTTTTGTTGCTGCTTACTGTGGAGTAGGTTTTGCCAATGGGTCGGTGCTAAACTGACCTCTTTAGCTCCCGGAGAATTCCGTGCCACTCAGCAGCTGAGTGCAGGGTGCTCTGCAGAGTGTGCAAAGGCAACCCACGGGTGGCTCCTGGTCTGAGCTGGGCAGAGATACCGGGCTCTTCTCCAGAACAGCCGGGGTTATTTTCTCCCTACAGATACTCAACCTGAATTTTGGGCATCCCTAGGGTTGAAAATTGAGCCCTCAAGGACAGAAATGTGAAACCCAAAGCTCCCCTGATAGCTGGGAGCCAGGAGCACCCACGTCACTGGAAGGGTGTCCCGTGCTGGTTAGTTACTGCTTCGCTCGGCGGGGATTGCAGGTGCGTGCAGAGCCCAGCACAGAGAGCTCCTGGCTGTAAGATACCTTCACCAAAACGCACCATTTGCTCTTGCCTTCTCAAATGTCCCGTTTGCCTGGGGCTTTTTACCTGCTTCTCCCTTCTGTGCGCTGACATCCAGTCTCACCCCCGTCTCTGGAAGGGCCTCTGGGTCGCTCGGCGCGGAGTTTTTTGTCGGATGTGCCTGCGAGGGTGCGAGCTGTAGGATACAGGGAGCACAAATGCCTTTGCCAGGCAGGACGAAAGGGCTGTCCCCAGCCCCAGCGTGATGGCTGTGACACCCGTGGGGACGAGCATCGCGGAGGCATTTCTATGCACTGGTGGTGTGTTGCAGGGAAGCCCAGCATGCCTCCTGCACCAACCTGCGGGACGGGGCACAGGCGCTGCCGGTCCTTGGACCCGGACAGAAACCCCACGGGCGCTGGAGGGGAGGGGAGGTGGGGAACGAGAGCCAGGGCTGAGCGGCCGTGACTTTACCGTGTGCAAATATGTCCCCGTTGGCTTCACGCACAGCAAAGCCATCCTCCCACGGGACGTTAATGATGGTCGGAACGGTGCCAGCACCAGTGCCGGACACCCTGGGGAGGGGAAGGGGCCACGGTTGATGCCAACACGAGCTGTACTCACCACAGCTGCATCCTCTTCCTCCTCCTCCTCGACATCACCAGGCAGTACCTGGGTGGCATTGGGCCAGCAGTAGGGGAAACGCAAGTTGTCCCGCTCTGCCCCGTGTCTCCCGCAGGGGCCACGGGCTGCCGGCACAGCGAGGCTCTCCCCGGGGCTCGGCTGTGGGCTGCCGGACCCCCGTGGCTCCCGGTGGTTGTGCCAGCTTGTTTCCCTGCCACGGCCAGAGTCTGATAGATCCAGCGGCACGTCTGCACCATCGTCCCTTGCTGCCTTCGCCTTTTCTCGGAGCTCAGAGCTGTCCTGGCTCAGCCAAAGCTCTTTCTCTTCCTTCCCATCAGCAGCATCCTCCGGGAAGGACCTTTCCTCCTTGCATCCTGGCGTGACGCTTGGCCACGGGGAGAGGGCCCGCTCCTCGGACGCAGGCTTTGGGTCTCCATCTACCCGCTCGCCTGACTGGCATTGCTGCATGAGGAAATACTGCAGCCGCTCCCTGTGCTTGAGGAGGTGTAACTTCTCCTCCAGGTGCTGATCCCTCACGTATACCATGGCGGCAGGGAGCTTCAGCAAGGCTGTGCGATCTTCCCAGCCATCGTGCGACCGTGTCCTGCTGTCGGCGTCTTTGGCCCTGAGCAAATGGCTGGAGAAGCTGCTGCCGTCCCGGTCGGCCAAAGCGCAGTTGCTTGCCAGCCCCAACTGGTGCAGGGAAAGGTGCTTGTGGAGGAGGCAGAGCTGCTCTCTCTGGGCAGTCAGTTTTAGATTTTCATAGGATGGAGCAACCTTGGGGGAGTCCGGTTTGCTTGCTGTTAAATAACTAAAAAGAGCAGGAAAAAAAATCACATCAGTTAGAGAATTTTCATGCGATTTCCCAGCTCCTGCAAGTGATGTGCATAGTCTCTCCTGCTCTTTCTGTGCCCTGTTGCGGCTCTCGGCCCGTGCATCACGCTTGCCTTTGGGTGCTGTGCTGGGGACGAGGGTCCCAGTGGCCGCGGGGGTCAGGCAGCCGGCAGCAGGTCTCTGCAGTGCTCACACTGCAAGAAGCCATCACCATCCCACCGTCCAACAACGTTCTCCCGTCCCTGGGCCACGGCAGCTCCAGGGATGGGGTTGAGCGAGTGGGGGGATGCAGTGACCGCTCGCGTCAGCACCGCTGCTGAGAAGTCACTTGTCAAACCGTGTCTTACAGCCAGAAGCATCCTAATTACCCCTCATTGGGCTTTCTTAGCACCTTGGTGGGCCTGAAGACCTCCAGGACAGAGGAACAGCCCACCCTCTCCTAATCTCACTCAATGGGAGATTTTTACAGCCATGCTAAGAAGGTTGGAATGGTGCATGAACCTGCCCTGCAAACCCAGTCCCTGCTGTCGCTGGTTATTTGGCAGCTTCCGCATGTGCAGGCTTTTCCTGGGAATGCTTGGCAGATCCACTCCCACTCTGGGAAATTTGCTGTCCCTACAGGTGAACTCACTGGTTTCGCTCAGCCCTTTGTGCTTCTGGAATCAATGAGGAGGATAAGCCCAGGGAAGTGCTGAGTCCTGCAGAAAAGCCCATTAGAAAAGATAAGGAGGAGCAGGGATTGCTACCTCCTGTGAAGCAAGTCCTTCTCCTCCCGGCTGGAGGTGGGGGCACCCGCTTCTCTTTATGGGTCTGTGTAACCAGAGGCTGATCTCGTCAGGCTGGATTCCAGTCATTTTTTGCTGGTGTAAACTGGGAGACCCCCCACCCCCCTCCTCCCCCAAGGCTGTGGGAGAAGTCTGGAGAAGAAGGTGGGTAGATATAGAAATACTGGCCATCTCATCGCAGTCTGCACGGTGGGACAGCTACAACGGGCCACGGATCAGGCCCGCACCACAACCCACGAGCAGGTAACTCACGCCTCAAGGCTGGGGCTCCGCTCACGCTCCGGCGGGAGAGGGGTCTTCCTTGCTGATGGGGACACTGCTGCCCCCGAAGGACTTTTTTCCAGGAGACAGGGTTTGGAGCCGGGTCTCACCAAGGCGATGGTTCCGTGCAGCTGGTTGGCGATCCTCTGGGACACCTGCGGCAGAGGGGAGAATGTCGCGGTGAGCCGTTCTGCTGTGCACCCCGGGAAGCTCGCGGCGAAGGGGAGCCCCGCCAAGCAGAGATGCAGCTCCTCACCAGTGTGAACAAGACACCTCCTAAGTGCTCTGTGTGATACAGGTCTGGTCAACAGCTCAACCATATTTTTATTGGTTTTCCCAGGAAATTTTCCCTTCGTGTTTTCTAGCGGGATCTACAATACTCTATTTTCTGGCTGCACAGATTTGTAGCCCAGGAGGTCTTGTGCCTCCCCTCAAGTCAAGCCGTGATTCAGTGGCTTAACCAAGATAAGACCCTGCAAATTCCCTGACCCCTAGTCAGCCCACTAGACTTTATTCATGCAAGCTCCTGGCATGCACTAATTTGATGGGTGTATTTCCAGTGGGGTACCTGGCTGTGAGGCCAGGACATCATCATCTCCATCTGCTGTCATGAAAGGCTCACCACATGTTCTGACTTGACTTTCCCCTGCCCACCTGGAGATGTCACCAACCCTTCCTGTGATCCCTATTAATTATGGTCTGCCTGCAGCCTTACCAAAACCCCTTTTCACCTGCTCTTTCAAGTTTTCTGTGGAGTTCAGGTAAGCAAAGCCTGTGCCAGAACAGAAGCATCTATGTGGGTGTTCATCTGGGCTTGAGTTCCCACGACCAGGAACAGGGCTCCAGGTCCTGCAGTCTCATCTCCCAATGCTCAATATCACCATATCACTCAGCATCCCTCAGCTGACACATAGTCTCTGTGTTTTAAAGAGAGTGGCTTGCATCAATGCACAAAATGGCAACCACTGAATGCCAGGCCCTCCGAAAATACCAGTATTCATTATGCTGCAGATGGAGAGACATCTGCAATGCTCTTGGGCAGGGCTGCTGTGGTGTATTTGTTCTCAGTACCCACAACTCCCACAGTTTACATATTCTCCAGGCTTTTCCAACACTCACAATGCTCCAACTTCTTGCTTGCCCAGATAATGGAGAGCTGACTCTGTAACTCGGGATAAGCTACACTCAGTTGTGGCTCAGCACAATCTCCCCAGGTCCTTCACTCCTCAGAGCTTTCCCCAGCAAAACATCTGAGAGAGGAACCAGAGCAATGGGCAGAGGACTCAAGGATGCTAGACGTGTCGTCATGGAGGATAAACACAGGAGCAAAGATGTGCGCGCTCACAGCAGGGACAGGAGCCGGTGCCAAACTCCAAACGCTTTGCCTGCAGCGAGTGGCAGTTTCTGCAGAGAGGATGCATCTGGCGTTTGGTAGGTGCCCTCCTTGGCTCTGGCAATGGCAAACTGCCCAAGTTTGGCTAATTGTTTCACCCACTAAGTGCCCCCTACTCTTTCTCTATCCCAGTCTACCTCTCTTGAGCCAGTTCAGATGACCACAGTGGTGGGGAGAAGGCCTGAGGACATCAGGCTACCTCTGGCAACTCACCACTTCTGCGAGGCTGACTTCTTGGAGGACAGTGCCTGGGGAAGTCCTACTGCTTGGAGAGTTTCTCTGTCCTGCAGGCTTTTCTGCAAAAAAAGACACAACCAGCCACTGTGATGGTCCCGCAGAGCTGTTGCAAGCTGCCCTGCCCTGCAGTGTGCTGGAGTCTCGCAGCCTCCCAGGGATGCCACTGGCTGGCACCAACCACCTCCTATTGAAGATTTCAAGCCAAAATTTCTGCCTGGCTCAAGGCAGCACCTAATTGAACATACCCTCCATCGCATGTGTGGGTGGCAGCAAGGCAACGACACGGTCTCTGCATGAAATGGGTGGCGGGTCCACACCTGCATAGCACTCGTCTTACAGTGAGGGTACCCAAGCACTCTTTTGCTCTAAGGCAGAGCAGCGTGTTTCTCCCTTGACATGTGTTCCCCCCCGCAGCAGCTATTCTGCCCATGGCAATGTCCATCTGAGCTGCCAACAACTTGATCTTTGCTCTCCAGACCCTTTCCCAGAGCAGCTTTCCACCGTGGCTCAGTCACTCTTCCCATCCCCAGGTCCCTCTAGTGTGGCAGGAGCCAGCAGCACCCACCTTCTCCCAGCTCGAGGCCTGGCACGTCATGGTGGGCTGCTTCTGCTCCCCTGTGAGCTGCTTTCTCCATGCCAGTGTTCCTGCTCACTGGGGACAGTAAAGCCAAGGGAGAGCTGGGGGTGGAGGTGCTTTCTCTGGAGGTGACTCCTGGGTGCTTTGTCCTGTCCCTGTTGAAAGAAGAAGGACATGAATGAATGAGAAGGGGCAGACGGAAGGTTTGAGAGCCAGTGTAGTGGGAGGTCCAAGTTATAAAGCCCGATATATAAATATACATATTTATATATATGTATGTGGATATACCGGATCCACAGACTCACTTCTTTCCATTACAGCTTATCGCTAGCTCAGCTGCAGTCTGGAGCATGGGACAGAGCCAACATGACAGCTCAAGGTCTGATTTCCCCTGGCTGTGGGTAACATCGCAGGAAGCCCCGACGTTGGGTAAGCCAAAACCCAACTGTGGCGATTGCAAAACCTCTGTGAGAACCTGTATGTCCCTGGCTGGCCTTTCAGCCTGGTGTAGGGATGGATTCAGCACAGGGATGTGGTAGCTATACCTCTTCACCATATCGAGTTGGTGGGGCTGATGCTCTTGGTCACTACGAGGGAGTCACTGAGTCTCAGAGACACATGCTTATGTCCTGGACAAAGTCCTGGCTCGATCCTGATGATGACATGGGTGTTTGGCTGGAAGTCTTCCTATCCAGCAGCCCAGGGAAGAGCAGAGGCACTCGGTGCCCAGCAAACTCAGCCTGACCTACAGCTCTGAATCTCCTCAGGCCTTGGGAAGCACCAAGGAGTAAAAGCGAGAATTTCTCTTTAAGCAAATGGCGCTTCCGTGCTCCAAAGAAAACACATTTGTAAACTAATCCCTCGGTGCTAATTCCTCTGGACTTTAAACCCTTGAGGAATGAGCTGATTTGTTTATACTGGCCAGTCTGGCAGGTTACTTGGCTTTCAGCACAGTGCTCTGCTGGGATATGAACCTGTTGGTGCAGAACCCTTCTCCCTCTTTGCCCTGCCTCAGTCCCTTGCCTGTCACTCTCCTTCCCCCATGACACAACCTGCTTCCTCCAGACCCTCTCTGCCGGCTGCAGAGGAGGACCTGGTGCCATGGAAGAGCCATGGAAGCCCAGGCTGAGGTCCGTGGCCAAGGTGAGCAGCCCAGGGCTTTGCTTCCCATGAGCAATCCCCTGTGCCGGGGTGTTGAATACCCTTGTTCCCCCAAAAACTGAATCCTTGGGTGCAGGTGAACAGGGGAGTGAGCGAAGGCCAACAAGGACTTAGAGACCATTACGGGTGTTTCGGTGTCTAACATCTACAGGAATCTGTAGGAATTAGATGCTAAAATACCCCTTGAGGACACCGTGGTCTGGCCATAGCCCTGCTCAGCTGTGGGGATGCCTCTGTCCTTACCAATACCCCTCATAATGAATGAAACCCAGCAGAGAGCTTACTCCAGGCTCCGGAGTCTCTTCAGTTCTTCCTTGAGAGTTTTGTTCTCTTCCCTCAGGCGGTTCGTCTCGTTAGCTGCAGGGACACAAGTTGTGCCGCGCATTCAGGTGCTGCAAGGAGAGAGCTGATGCTCCTTGCAGCTTGCTGGGGTGCATGGGGGAGGAGGAGGGAATGGCACCAGGTTTTGGGGGGATGCCGAATTTTCTTCCTTCTCTGAAAACACACCGGGGGCTAAGGGATAAAAGGGAGCAACTTTCCAGCTTCGATTTGTAAGGATTAGGGTCTGCTTTGCAGCCCATCCAGCTCAAGGGGAGGGCACGACTCAGGTGGGGTGGTGGCTGTGGCACGATGGGATGGACACAGCCAGTATCCTGACTGGGAGCACCACAGCCGCCCCCAACGAGGGGGTCCTGTGTTAGAGGGAAGGCTGGGGGCCTCGGGGGGGATCGGACGAAGGGCAGAGGGAGTTGTGAGCACCCAGCAGCCGGGTGCTGCGGTGAGAGCAGGCAGGGTGGGCTGCTGCCTCAGCTCACTCCTGCTCGAAAGCAGCGCTCTGGGAGCAATGGCATAACAGGGGAGATAACCCAAAAGCTGCTGGCACCTCTCCATCCCTCCTAATGCCTTATCTCCTTTACCCCCACGACCTTCCCTGGGCCAGCCAGATCCCCAGGGAAAAACACTCCGAGCCTGAGTGGTGCTGGGAGCTCTGCCAAAGGCTCAGGAGAAGATCCATCACAAGTGTTGCTTGATTTCCATTTACCCGTGCTGAGCTGCTGCTATGACTTTCCTGTCTTTGCCAGAGTGTTGCTTCTGCGGTGCCAAATGCATCTTTTTTCCAGGCAGCTGACATGGCCTGGCCAGCTCGGGGCTGCTCTCGGCATGAGAATTTCTCATTTTTCTGGAGGTACAGAGGACTGCAACTTCCCAGCGCTGCTGCTTTGTGTGAGCAGTCACCTCTGCTTTGGCGGGGGGGATGTAGGCTGCCATCCACAGTCCTGGTCAGATCCAATTTTTCAAGGTCCCCACACTTGTGTCGGCTCCCTCCCTCCTCCCCAAACCCCTCCTGGGTGCCTGGTCACCGGGGGGGGCTCACGTGCAAATACCTGGGAGAGGCATTAACTGAGCAAAGACTCAGCCAGCCGAAGCCGAGCTTACAGCAGGCAGTGGTACGTACTGAGGATGAAGATGTGCTGCAGGCTCTGGAAATGGGAGGTCTCGTACTCATTCTGCTTCTTTTTTGCCAGTTCCTGGGTGACCATGCATCTGTCGCAGAGACCCGCTCGCAGCCTGGAGGAAAATCCATGGCCGGCAGCTTGTTGCCACACAGTTCCCATGGGGGAAATAAGCTCCTGCCCTCCCCACAGAGAAGCGTGAACACCCAGCCCATCACCCCGAATTGGTGAGAGGGGTTATCACCCGTGCAGCCCAGCCCTGGTCCTTCCATCCCCCCAGATCCAGTCCCACCACCATCAGCTTAGGAAAGCTCTTCTGCATGTGCCCGGGCTCCCCCAGCTCTCCCAGCAGCCATGTATGAGCAAAAAAGAGGTTCATGTGCTACATCTCGCTTCTGGGAAGACAGCAAACCCCAAACGCTCCCCCTAGGAGGGTGCACTCGCTGCCACCAAGCACCACCCTATTGAAAAAGAAATCTTACCTGTTTTCTAACACCTTTACGTTTTCTTTAAGGACCTTCTGCTGTTCCCTTAATTGGTGATTTTTAGCAAACAACTCTTCAATTCTCTGAGCATCGCTAATTGAAGAAACAGAACAAAGAAAAGAGGGTTATTAGATTTCTCCCCCAAATATGTGCCTTTATCTGCAGCACCCTGTCAAGGGAAAGGATTTCTGCCCTAAGCCTGCCGTGCTGCTCACACCGGTATGGCTGAATTGCTTTTGCTTGTGTGGCAGGAGGGGAAACAAATATGTTAGAGCCCAGATGCTGCCCTGTGACACCCGCCCTTGGAGTCAGCAGCTTGCTTTGTCCCAGTTTATTGCTTCCCAATAGAGCAAGAGCCCCTTGGCACAAGCATCACTTGCCGGTGGGAAGGCAAACTGGAGGTAGGCTGGGATCACCCCAAGCCCTGCCTGGGCTGAGGACTTGCACGGCAAAAGCCACCAAGAAGTTTGAATTTGGCAGGGCCAGAAAGGCAAACCAGGCTCTCGAAATCAGGCAGCCTTGGAGGAGTGCCCGGGAGGTCTGAAAATGAAGCGGTGTAATGTCCCCTCCGCCCTCCGTCCCGCCGTGGCGTGGGTAGAGCAGATGTGGCATTGCTCACCGGCACTTCTCTGTCGTCAGCTCCGTCAGCTTGCTTTGCAGACCTGGAATAATTAACAGAGACGGGCAGGTGGGTATTTATTGCCAATTCCCCGGCACATAGAAACAAAATGCGATGAGAGAACTTCAGGAGGGTGCCTGGCTTTGCAGAAACCTCATCAATTTACCAACCTTATTTCCGAGAAGGAATATCACATTGCCTGTGTTAAACAATATCACAGTTTAACATAGCTGGAAAAGTTGTACAAAATGTGAGCACATTTTGTATTTCCACTGTTTAATGAGTCTGCATTTCCCTCCCACCTCCAAAAAGTCTGTTTCAGTTCTGTTTCTACTTATTTCTTGTTACAGCACGCATTTCCCAGGTGGGCAGTATTTTATAACTCAGGGCTGCAAAGCATCTTGGAGGATATTTACAGCTGAACAAGAACAGCTTTCGCTGATGGATCTGCAGACGTTACATCTTGTCAAATCCATTTTATGCAAAGTAGATGTAAACATGTGGTTTAAATTGCTCAACAGTTTCCTCTAACTCTCACATGGCTTGAAATTACACAAGAGAAGAATGAATTCATAAGCCAGAATCCTCCAAAAGCGCTCTTGTTTTGTTCATAATATTGATACTGGGAATTATTCTAATAGGAAAACAATTGGATTTGGCATTTGGTTGCTTAACCTAATAGTTCTTATTTTAATAATGTATGACCTGAGGAATAGTTTATTCCCCAGAGGAATAAACTATCCAACCTGACTCTAAGGTTTTCTTTAACAGAGCCTCATACTCCTGCTGCTTCTGTCTTATAGATTATTGCATCTTTCCACTTTCCCTTTGATCCCTCAGTATCCAAATATACTCCAATCCACGTCGCTCAGAGAAGATGCCCAGCAGGTGTGCATGTCACTTCTGCAAACCTCCCAGTTCACCTTTATCATAGACCGGGGCAGCAGGAGCAGGAAAGAAGCCAAATCCCCCGTGATTAATGCTTGGAGCAAGTGGGATTCCTGCAGGGACTGAGCACCTCCATGGCTTGCTCTCCAGGAACATGGGATGTGGGAACACCCTCTCTCTTCTGCTCCACCTCATCCAAAAAGTTACCAATTTTCTCGGTAAACCTCATTCTCCACCGGTGAGAGATACCAAGGTGCCATCGGAAGGTGTGCTCCCCTGAGGGCCAGGCTGTCACCCTGTGTCCCCATCCATCCCTGTGGGTGATGCTTGCTGAGCCCTAATTCCCAAAGCTCCCTAATCCACACCTGCTCCTCCACCCTTCAGGTTATTCGAAACTAAACAGATCAAGGTGGCATGACAAAGAAATGGACCTTAGCCAGTTTTTAAGAAGACTTGTTATGTCTCCTTACCTTGGACCTCTTTCTCATGGATTTCCTTGAGCTTATTCAGGAACTCTGCAAAACTCTCCGTGGTCATGTTCAGGGCTGTGCCGCACACCGGGCTGCTTCCAGTGTGAGGATGTTCTTTCGTTTCAGATTATTCAGGTTTCAACCTAAAATAGAAAGAAAAAGTCCAATAAAAGAGAAGCTTCTTGTGTATGTGGTGTTCTGGAAAGTCTTAGAAACAGGACAAAGCCCAAATCTAGAAAGTGAAATCAGTTGCTAAACCACAGACATGCACAAAGCAGCAGGCTCATCCGCGGACGCATTTTTGTCCACCCTGCCTCAGCCCTGGGCTGGGGGCACGGGCAAAGCAGAGAGTGATGGCTCGGAAAATGGGGGAACTGAAAGCCCAGCTGAAAAAAACCAGGCTTTTCCTCTACTCTTTGAGCTGTTTAAATTGCATTTCTCTGGGATGAGGTGGGCAGGGCATTTTCTTGAGGAAGGCACTGCAGGGCTCATGTTGGGACCATGTTGCTGGGGACTGAAGATGGGAAAAGTCGCGGCAGCTTTTGTACTTGAGCCTGATGGACCCATCTCCTACCGGGTCCCGAGATGCTCCCGTGCATCCCTCCTCCCTCTGGCACCACGCACGGCTTCTACGAAGGGAACACGTACCGCTCAGCTGCCCTGCTGTCATCGCTCCTCGCGTGGCCTCACCAGCTGCAGCCTCTTCGAACCCTTGGGAGACACCAAACTGAGTGTTATTCACCCCATTTTACAGTGAAACCTGGAGAGGTGATGCACAAAGCCGAGCCCCACAGGAATCCTGGTGGGTGCAGGGCCGGTGTGAGTACAGCATCCGTGGAGCTGGACGTGAGCTGGAGCACTCCAGGGTGTGCTGGCTGTCCGCAGTCCCTCCACACTGGGAGAAGTGTCCCAGGTCCTGCCCTGGGCTCAGGTCTCTGCTCCACCTGCCCCTGCCTCAGTTTCCCCATTGAGGTTATGGGGTTGTTAATGCTCCATCATGCTGAGTGCCATCACTTAGTGCTGGCAGTAGTGTTCAATAATCCCAGAGAACGGATAAAGTGCTCTGCTTTCTAAAAAACCCTTGCTTTTTCCTTTTTTTGGGGTGAAAACAACAGGAGAGGTGGAGAGCAACCCATGACACCCCCCAGCTCAGTAAGCTGGGAAAGGCAGGGGGTAAACAAACAGCCTGAAAGCAAAGTGGTTGTTTTTGAAGAATGTTGCCCTAATTTTAAGAATTTTCCCCTAATCCCATAAATTTTGAAATTACTAGCAGGGATGGAAAACGGAAACTTTGGAGATGAGAAAGCTCATTACATCAGCGATGACCTCATTCCTCCCTGGGATGCTGATGTTGGGATAAACTCTTTCCTTTCCATCAGCCAAAGCCTTGGGGAGTCTTAGATGCCCTGGAATAGCTGTGGGACCAGGTCCCACCTGGACCATGGTGGTACCAAGGAGCGGCGTGTGTCCGAGCATCCCCGCAGAGCAGTGTGGAAGGTCCCCCAGGATTTGGGCAGGAGGGGTGCGACAAAGCACCCGGGCACTCAGTCTTCAACCATGCATGAGATGACCAGGGAGAAAATCTCCTTTCTGTGGTTCAAAGGTGAAAGGCCAGGCTGGGACCTGGGTTTTGCAGCCTCACGGCGGCACAGGGAGGTTTTTGCCGGGCTCCAGCACACTCCCAGCCCGGCTCCCAGCCGGCAGCCTGCCTGTGCCTTTATCTGCATGCAGAGCAGAGGTGTGCCGGCTCACCTGCATATGCAAGATGTGGGCGCACAGAGCTGGAAGAAGAAACTTTCCCCTAAAGCGTCTGATTTTCAAAAGAAATGAGGCACGCGCCAGCGAGCACAAGCAGCGAGCTCGGCTTGCGTGCTCTTAGCACACTTGGATCAGCAAAACAGCTTCCTTGTTTTGAGCAAATAAGCAGAGATCTCACTGTCTGGAGAAACAATTAAAAAAAATATTCATTGCTCCCACTTTCCTGGGCAGAACCCACCCTTTCCGAGGGCTGGGCGATCTCTCCCAGCAAGTAAAAGCCGCGTGAGGCACGGCATGGCTTGTCGCGGCTCGCGCAGCTCGGGATCAGCTGCCGTGAAATGGGATTGGGAACCGATCTCTGCTGCTCAGCCCCAAGAGCCATAACTGAATAATGAGCCAGGGGAAATAATACCCAGCTCTACTACAAAAAAGAAAAATCAAACCCCCTGGTGCTGATGGGAAGCACTTCCCGGGATTGCTGAGTTCTAAATTCAGCTCTGCCCTGGGCAAAGCACCTCCCCAGGGCTGAAGGGAGGTTGTGAGACCCACTGCTGCCGTCATGGGGCTGAAACCCCGAGTGCCAGCTGGGAAGGCTTTGATGTGCTCAGGCACTAATTCCCATTGCATTCCCCAGTGCTGTATACTGGGAAGGGATTGCAACTGGGACCAGAGCATGTGGGCTCCCTACGATGCTCGCTGGTGCCGGATCAGCCCCTTTCCACCTCGGTGCTGCCCTTTCCCCAAGGCTGGTGCCTTGGAGGGCTGAACAGCGCCTGGAATTTTGGGCCATGGGGCTCCAGCTGGGACATCCTGGGAAGGTGACATCCAGACTGGGGCTCGTGCCAGCCCGCGGTTCGGGGAGGCAGGGCTGGGCTTGGATGTGGCTGGAGGTGGAAGGCACGGGGGCAGCCCAGGTGCTCAGCACCAGATCTGGATCTTTGCTGCTGCTGTGACTCAGTGCTGCGGGCAGAGCCCGGCAGATCAGGATTTGGGGCTGGGGTGTGGGCAGCAGCTTTGCCTTCTGTGCATGGTTGCGGCTGAGGTGCCACCAGGGTTGGGACTCACTCCTGATTTTCTTTTCCTCAGAGTCCCCAGGTCAGTGGGAATCAGTGACCTGCTGGGGATCCGATCAGTGGGGAAAAGCTATTGCCATTTTCGGCGCTTTTTGAGATGCCAGCATCCGTCCCTGCTTGCAGACGGGACTGCCACTCTGCAGCAAACCTGGTGAGGACTTTGGGTCTCTGGTCCGTGCACACACACGGTTGCAGAGATGTTGCACAAGCATCACCCCCCTCTATCTGTACCCAGGATTCATCCTTTTGCTGCAGCAGAGCAACCCTGCAGACAGCCCAGGCTCTCTGAGGGCTTCGGCTTTGCTCCCTTCTCGCCTGGTGTGGACTGGCCAAGGCATGAAGCCACAGCCCCCCGCTCCCCCGCCCTGCTCGAGAGGATTTATTGATGAAGACCAGACCACAGAGTCCCTCAGTGTGGAGCTTGCTCCCCGAGACAGGGATTTCATTTACAGCCCTGAGCCCTTTCCAGAGCTGTCACTGTAATATACACCCGGCGGTGCCAGATGCGGGACCGGGAGCAGCCCTTTGGCGTGCCGGCGGGGCCGGGCGTATTTCAAAGTGACGGGTGCCCTCTGCAAACAGAGCCCCAGTGTTGGGGACCAAAGGCAAATTCCTCATCCAGCCCTTAAATCTGGTGGGTTTGGAAAGCCCAAACCCCGGGGCAGAGCTGTCGCTGACAGCCGTGGCTTTGCTCACCTGCTCTATTCGTCCCTCAGTGCTGAGCTCAAGGGGGGGGACACGGGATCCAGGTTGGGGTACAGGGTCCCTGGCACGTCGGCTCTCACATACGGGGCTGGGGCAGCCCCCAGCCTCGCCCGGGTACCGATGGCATCGCTCCTCGGGGCTCCTCAGGATGCTCCTGACTGTGGCTGGGGAAAGGAAAATCGGCAGGAAAGTTATTTCCTAGCCCATGCCAGGGGGCTTGGGAAGGGTTGGACTCAGACAGTTGGCTCTGACAGCACAGCCGTCCCCCATTCCCTGGTCCCTGGGGGGTTCCTGGCCTCTCATTACCATTCCCAATGCTGCCTGCCATGCTTCCATCGAGCCATGGCACATCCTCACCCTTAGCACTGTTTCCCTTCAGAAGAGTAAAGCAGCTCATTAGCTAAATGAGCTTAAGATGTTAAAAAAAAAAAAAAAAAAAAGGCAGGACTCTGACGTTCTGGCACTGTCGGATCAGTGAAGCTTAATGGATTTACAACCAGATATTTCCCCATCAGCAGTGCCGGAGTTTTCAGCTTCAGGCTGGATTTATGTAATATACCTTTTGCAGGGCAATTGCTGGGCAGGGCTGCTTTCACCAGCAAAACTTTCTTTTCTTGGCTACCCTACTATGTTCCTGGTCTAATTTTAGAATTATAAATTGAATTTATACCCAGAAAAGCTGCCTGATCACTCATGGAAAATCTGCAGTGCCAGGAGTATTTTGCAGGCCAGTGTGAAGCTGATCCGCTTTGCTGATGTACTGGGCGCTTGGCAGATCGGAGAGTTTTTTGTGCGCATTGGGTTTTTTTTTCTGGGCATTTGTTTATTTGTATGACTTAACATGGCACAGGCTGTCCTAAAATGGAGCCCAGTGCTTGCTCTCCACCGCGCTGGTTTTGAGGGTGGGTGTTGGATAGGGGCCGGCAGATTGCAAAATTATCCCCCAACGGGTGAGACAGGAGGAGCAGCTTCAGCTCTCACCTGGCCAGGGAGGAGGATTTGGTGCCTTCCTCCACCTTGCACAACCCGAAAATCCTCCCCAACGCAGGGCAGCTGCTCTGTGCTGCTCCACCAGCCAGGAGGCCGGTTTGCAGCGAACCCTTGCTGCAAACCCCAGGGTTGCCTCTGCTGAATTCGGATGGGGATCCCACCCGGGGCCGTGCAGAGCCGCAGCGGGGCTATGAGCTCTTTTGATGGCCCTTTGGGTTTGCTGGGGACCGGCGTTGGTCGCAGCCCCCTGAACAAGTTAAACAGGACCAGCAGCGCCAGGGAGATGCTGTCCCTGTTGACATGCGTGCAGACGTGCCCCGTTGCAGGGAGAGAAGAACAAGAGCGAATCCTCCAAGGTGAAGAAGTGCAGCCTCAAGTCCCAACCTGCAAACCTATTTACTTCAACCCTATAAAGTACGTTGCCATAATAGAGCGCAGCCCCGGCTATCGCAAACCCAGCAGCTCAGTTTCTCCCCCACCAGCCTGGCCATTTGGGGTCAGCTTCTGCTTCTCTAACCGCTGTGGCAATGACCAAAGCAAT